CTTTTCACGGTGTATAATTTACCTTTTCATCATTACTGTTTCATTAGAAACACCGACGCAGCTCACACTAGTTTTTAGCTAGTTATATCTTTATATTTAAAGCTCATTAGATAAAACATCACCGATGGAAAGCTAAGAAAAAGTGTACAGTTGATTGCCTTGCTGAATATTCATGCAGTATTTATCCTTCTTAGGGTCGTATGGTGCTAGGGAAGATAAGAGAGCTTTACAGTGCATACCAGACCTTCTGTCGTGATGTGGTGAGTCCTTTCTCAAATTTCTGGATCACCTCTGGTGCATTAAGGAGACCATGTCATCATATCCATAAAACATTTTACCTTATCACTAAGAATGCTATAAGTATGAACTTTATTCTGTGAGCCAGACATTTGTTCAGTTGAAACATATATTTTTCATTGTGACTTTTACAGTTTGTAAAGTCTATTCATGGTTTTTCTTGGTTTTTTTTTTTTTGTTTTTGTTCAGCAATATGGTACTGTACCTTCTAAGCAACAAATGTCTGAAGTCAGCGATTCTTGTCCAATCTGCCAAGAGGAACTAACAGACCCTATCATGCTCAGAACTTGCAAGGTTGGTTTATGCTGTTTGTATAGACCCCTTGTGGGATATTCCTAATGCAACTCAATAGACCTCTTTACCTTGGTTGTAATGTATACCCATTTCAAATCACTTGTCATTCCCTAGAGTATCATTTCTTTGTTTAATGGTTGCATATAAGGAGATATATGAATATGGATACAACTTGAACAAAGAATCTTTTTCTCAAGGGGATAAAATGTGGTCTGAAATGGGAAATATTAGTAGAGAGATTTAATAATGATTTGCAATCATCCCCATAGTCAAATGACAAAGACATGGCAGCCATGTTGTTGTTATTAGCGAAGTATGCTAATATTAAACATGAAAATAAAGAATATGAAGGAACAACCAAAAGAATTCCACTTGCATGAGTATAAAAAGTCATTGTATAATGGAAATTTTGCCACTCTTTTATCATTCAAACTCAAGTGCTTCATCTTGAAGTTTTCACCAATGTGACCCTCTGCATTTACTGTATACCTTAGGTGTCAGGCACTACAGTGCTTACAGTAATCAATATCTGTTGAGGGAACTGAAGGGGTAAAATGGGAGCTAGGATTCGTATTACTTAAGCTGGGAATGGAATTCAAAAACGAAAAAAAACCAAAACAACAACAACAACAACAAACAAAAAATGTGATTAGGATTGAGATTTTAAGGCTGTAATTATGGGATTTGGTCCAAACGGGGCTAAGAAATGTGGTAAGGACCCCCTTCAGGACCCTCTCTGTGGGCTGTGCTGATGCTCAGTAGACCAATGCAACTTGTGTATCAAACTCTACAAAGGCCTTATTTTAAATGATTTATTTTCACTTTTATCTCTTCAGCATATATTTTGTGAGGACTGTATATCCCTGTGGTTTGACCGGGAGCAGACCTGTCCAATGTGTCGAGCTAAGGTCGTAGGAGATCCCACATGGCGTGATGGCTCGACTGCTGCATATGTTCAGCTCTTTTGATAGTCGCTTACCTTCCGAATACAAACTAGATGGATGGATATTGAATGATTTTAAAATGTGTTAATATTATTAATAAGAATTATTGATAAATGAAAGAAATGTTTTTAGTTATAACGCTTATTGTACTTGTTTTTGACCATTTGCACAGCATATTAGGACCGTACCGGTCTGGTTTCAACCGGACCAACTTTCGGGCAAAAAATTTAAGAAAAAATTTTTTAAAAAATATCGAAAAAACCGAAAACCGGACCAATCAGAAATTGGTGGTTACGGCCCTGCCGTATTTTCTTTTCTTTGGGTAACCTGTGTTTTTTTGACGCCTTATGTGTGAATTTCACACTTTTAACATGCAATTTGGAAAGACAATTTTATGGATATTTTTATTATCAAGTCACTTCTAGAATATACTGAATACGATTTGAACAAATGTCCCACTGACACCCACTTTAGCTAGTCCAGGTACCTTAACTTAAATTTTTTTAAGCATCAAATTATACCGTTTCATTTCCATACACGTACACCTCAACACACGCATTTCCTTCGTTATTGCTTTCACTTTTGTTTACAAGGTCTTGTCCATACCAGATGCGAAACTCTTGAACCGCAGTAACATTCATCGGAGTGGTAAAGTTTGTGAAGAGCAGTTCAGGAGACTGGGACGTGATTCCAGGGAGGCTGTAGCTTAGACTCACGAAACTTTTGATAAATTCGTCTTTAGGAAGTATCTTGTGGTCTTGATGGTCAGTTATTATTGTATATAGCCTGTCTTCATAGGAATTATTACGGGTCGTAGTATAAGCGGCACAGCCCCAGTTGCTTTTGCACGAGTCTTGCAGCACATTGCACATCAAGTAACCAGACAGGTGGACAAGCTTGATTGCGGTGATTGTCATATTCTGTTTAATATAGAATCGTCCAAATGATGAGTCTTTAGTTCCAAAACATACAGGACTTGTGTTGATCTTGTACCGTTGATCACCCGGCCAATGAATGGAGTTTGGTGGGGGCTGAAATAAGAAAGGGTAAGCAAATCTCTCGCGTCTTGCAGGACGGGAGAACCTACATAGCACAATGTATTCAGAAAATCTATTGTATTCTATTGTCGTTCTATCGATTGTATTGGGTGCGCTATTGTATTTTAATGAATACATCACATCAGCTGCTTGCCACGTAGGCTCCCCTGGTAGGACTCCATACCAGCGGGTCTAGAGGGGTATAAGGGGTGGGGGGCTGGTGGGTATGGCCATTTCTCATTTGAATCCGCAGCGGACCCTATGGCCCAATAGACCTAATTCGTCTTGCTGCAAGGTTTACCCATTTCAGACCCCTTGTTATTTCTTGTCATAGCACAGGTTGTGACGTCATTTTGATTACAAGTCTCCAGATTCAGTTACGAATACACGAAATATGTTTGATGTAATGTTTCAAATACGAGTTGCTGTATTTTATTGGGGTTTCAAAATCTGATTGGATTTCGGCTACGCCTCGGCATTTGAAATTTCACGAGGATTTTGAAACCCCAATAGAATACAGTGACGAGTATTTGACACGACATCTTTTATATTTACTCTTTTTGTTATGTTTGTTTTTATTTCAAAGTACTAGAACTTTGAAATGGGTGCGGTCGTATTTGATGAGGCTTTCAAACTACTGCACGTGGTACAAATAAGAAACCCTGGTTGGTCGATAAGCTCATGAATTATTAATGAGTATAAGATTGTAGAATCTTAATTTCAGGTAGTACATTTTTCAGTTTCCCAACATTGGAAGAGTACTACTTAAGCTATCAAATAAAGCTGAATAAAATATACCTTTTATTGTTATTTTATACGAATTACAATTTATATTTAGTGCGTTACTACCGAATTTAGAGTACGTGTCAACAAAATGACGTCACAAATTGGGATTAATTTTCTCAAATATCTCAAGACGAACAAATTTCATTACGATATATTTACTGTACATTTTAAATGATRAAATGTTTTCGTGTCATATACACTTTAAACAAAGAAATGATACTCTAGGGAATGACACGTGGTCTAAAATAGAAAAACATTGCACCAAGAATAATTAGGCCTATTAAAATTGATTAACTCGATTAAACTTGAGAATTTCGTTTGGTTATATTGATCAGATCCTGTAGTAAACTGGTTATATCCTGTAGTAAACTGGTTATATCCTGTAGTAAATTGGTTAATTATTTTGATGAATATTTGCGCAGTAATTGTATCCACTCTTGAAATATGAAATTGTATTTCATTCTAAGTAATCAATGATTATCATTTTCTTCCCTTCCCACACATTCACTTCTTAAACCATTTCTAGATCTGCTACTGATTCCGGTACAACTGTAATGTCCATGCTCAAGGACGCTATTTCATTCTCATTAGCCATTCTGAGATTGAGGAAAAACCTGGTTCGAGTTGGTATTGCAGTACGTTGTACGACTGTTTTAGAACACGTATTTCCAAATAGGACCGCGTTTGTATGATGGCGTCGTTGACCTCTACTACCAGACTCCCTTGCACACTTTCTCTTGTTCAGTTAATTAGCACCAATTGTCTTACTATTCTCATGAGGGAATACAAATTTGAATAAGAAAGAAAATTCGCGAAGCATCTTGGTAGTGGGAGTCAAATGACGCCATCATGCAAACGTCCTATTATTGGCGTCTGTTTCTCCCCCTAAGAGTCCCACAATGCACCGCAATGCTAAGTGGATCCAGTTTTTTGCTCAACTTCAGAATGGCTAATATTGCATGAACATTTCTCGATGTTTGTAAAAATAAAAAAATAATAATAATCACATCATTTCATATTTCAATTTCCTTAATCATCGGAACCGAGTGAAGCCGGTAAACTGAGGTTTTCAAGTATTGAAATTGTTCGAACTGTAGTTTCATTTGTAGCAAAATTGTTTTCATTCGTATGATCGCCGCTGATCGATACTAATGAATAAAATTAGGCAAGCTGCTCTACTGATGAATTATATTCTCAAAAACTCTAACCCTTTCGATGTACAATTCTACATGTATATACACATATTTGAAAATACGTTGTCGGTCGGAAATCTAAAATCTAAAATCTGACATCGCGTAACACGCTGCAAAATGTAATATACTCACAGCCGAGCAACGTAGTTTATTTTTAGATTGGGATATGAAGCATGACCACCTTTGAGTTAGGAATGTGATATTTCGCCCATCTCAGATCTCCGACTGACGTTCTTGAAATGCGCGTATATCCCGCGTATATGTTGTGCAATGAAACCTCGAGCAGCAAAACGAAGTTTCAAAATTTTATCATATCTGTATATGCACACTTTGAATTTAAACCTCACGAAATTGATATGAAGTGCTTATATTTTTTACTAACACCTATTCCTGACCACTTACCATCAAGCGAAGAGTGTAGTGATGATAAAGATGGGATGCTGTTAATGGTCGAGTAGAATCGCCTGCCTCCTTCCTCAACAACACACATTCATACAAGCCATCTTGGTTTGGCAGTGTGACGATATTCAGAGCTACACAATCTGAAAAACGCTGACATTTAAAACAGCATTTGATGATACTATTCACGAAGACGGTTTGAATAGAACTTCCTTCGAGCTTGTGAAATTCAACTCTCGTGAAAAATGCTTGTAGGCCTAGCGAATTGTTAGCTAACAAACAATAACGAAAATGGAAATAAAACAGGAAGAATGAGAATATCAGTTGGCTTCTTGGTCTTGGATGCATTTGTGCAGTCAGGATTATCACTTTCACATTCACATTTAGTTTCCAGAGTTTGATTTAGCAATGGGTTACGTTAGGAGGCTTTACCTCATGCTGGCTCCTGCAGCTGAAAAATTAGCTCTCAAATGTTATTAATTCAACTGATTTAAAAGAACTCATAAGATTAAGTAAAAAAATTTCATCTTTTGTCAGTGCTTCATTTTGTTTCTGCTGGTTCAGTTCTTATAGGTTGTTCGGTATACACTTATTTCACTAAATGTTGTCATCGCCAATGGCGATAGCGATAGGTCATTCTGACATGGAAATTGTTTCGCTGAATAAAAAGAACTGGATCAGTCTCAACAATGAGGTCCGTGTTCTTGACGAGAATAAAAAGCAGAAACACAAGCTTACGTTTAAAACAAAAGGCTTATTCGCTATTCCGTACTGTGTCCCCCTTCTCCTTACCGGTATACGTCAATGCATCATTAAGATAAACATGAGAGTGAACATAAAGTGGTTTTCTTAATAGTATACGTAGACGACAACCTCTTTACCAATCGGAAACGTCAATCAAATGTTTTACTTGTTTTCACGACATTGACTAAAGTAGATCCAGTTGATGCACTTATTCCCCCATGGCTTTGTACAAATTGCTTGTATTAGGATAAAAGCTGTCGAAGAATTAATCGAGTACCCCACCTGCGAGACGACACAATAGGTTTCTAAGCGTTAACTCGGATCTATACAGTTTTTATTTCAACTAGCTATAGGAGATTCGTGATTTAATTGCAATGGTGAAAACCAATGACATTTCAAAAATCACCAGAGATATCAAAATGGATATGTTTAACTTTCAAATCACAACATAAAAATATAAATCACCGCATGAGAATCACTATACGAGAATATGGAATCACTACAATAGAATATGGAATCACTATACGAGAATATGGAATCACTATACGAGAATATGGAATCACTATACGAGAATATGGAATCACTATATGAATCACTATACGAGAATATGGAATCACTATATGAATCACTATACGAGAATATGGAATCACTATACGAGAATATGGAATCACTATACGAGAATATGGAATCACTATAATAGAATATGGAATCACTATACGAGAATATGGAATCACTATACGAGAATATGGAATCACTATACGAGAATATGGAATCACTATACGAGAATATGGAA